GACTAATTTTTCATACGCCCCAGTAATTCCATTATCTGGGAAAATTTTCCATGATTCTGTCGCTGGGGAAGCTCCATAAAACCATCACAAGGTTCAAATGATTCCCTTGTTACTGAGGTGCCATTTTCCCCTCCTTGTAATTATGATAGGACATGTTCGCTTGTGTGGCCGGGACGAAAATTTCCAATTTTTTGGATGTGGAGCTGAAACAAGAGTATGGAGAAAGCGATATTCACCTCCTCCGACTTATTGACTTCTTTAAGCTTTGGAGAATTCTTTAAAAGTCGTGAGCATTTGAATATCAGGGAAGGAGATTCAGCATGTGGAACATCGGAAGAAAATCACAGCTAACCAATGGAGTTCCAGAAAAAAAAACTAAGCTGGAGATTGTTTTCATCACACATCATTGAATACTCTCATTGGCCAGAATTATTGTCCAGTTTGAATTTTTAATTTTAATACAATTTGTACAAAAAGTAAAAACATTGCTTTGGGACAGAGAAAGAAGTAATTAGTAGGTTTGATCCATATTATTGCGATTTCGTGGTCTTTTAGTAAACTGAAATTGCATTCTACTCATTCCGTTCTGAAATTATTGTCCAGTTTGTATTTTCATTTTTATTAAAAAGTGAACTAAAATTGAAAATCCATATTGAACAATAATTTTGGGACTGAGCAGTACTTCTTTCTATGTGAGACAGTATGTTAGGTGATGGATGAATGTTTTGGATAGCCGAAAGTCATTTGAATGACAAGGTAAAAGGGGGGAGACAAACTTAATTAGGTCATTGATTCAATGCTCAATTCAGCTTGTAGCAATCCTCTGATCATGGCAATGGATTTTACAGCATCTACAACATTTGCTTGAAGTCGATCTTTAACTTAACATCTCGTGTTTGTTACGAAGCAAATACATCTATTTGTAGAATCCTACCAGAAATATAGTCAATTTGTGTTTTCATCATTTAAATTGAATTTATTTTCAATTTAAACAGCTTAAATGTATATGTTAAAAAGATTAGCAGTATTCTAGACGCTCTAATTTTTATTTCAGAGAAAATCTACGTTTTTAAATTATTGTTTTATTATAGTTTAAATTTAAATGTTCAAAATTTTAAATAAAAATTACAGAGGATTCATGAAGAGCATTTTCTGCACTTGGCAAGCTATTTTCCGAAAGGAAATTATAGATATTGTATCAAAACTAGCCACAGCTACTCTTTTACCAAAATACCTCATAAATGTCATCTTCTAAAGCTCGTCGTAGACGCTTTAGTCGTGATCCAACAACATTAGCTCTAATCCAAGTTGTATTAACCATTTTATAGTACCATTAAAGAAACCCACGACGGGATCTTTCGCCACCGTTTAAAGTTTTAAAGTCACGCTGATATGGCAGCTGGTAGTCTGAAACCACCAGATCTCTTATCGGTTTCTCTCTGGGCTTGTCAAGAGTCAAGACTTCACAATGTACTCCCGCCGACAGCTATTCGACATACAAAGATGAACCTTCTTGTTAGGAAAAAAAAAAAAAAGAAAAAGAATGTAGTCCAATTCATAAATAATGCTATGCTTTTTTAGTGGAATTAAAATGCAGAAGATTAAACTAAAAGCAATCTAGTACAGTGTTAGATGGGGATGCTGAATCGTGAACTCTACGCGAAATTAAAAAAAAAAAAACAAACAAACAAAGAAGGGAAAAAATGAAAAGCTACCAGCCTCGACCTAGAAGATTAATATCCAAAAAAGTGTTCTTCAAATTGACAGAAAACAACACTCAGAAAAAGATAACACAAAAACGGGGGCACTCATGATTTTAGTTAAAATTCTTGTCGGCGTAGTTTAATTGAGGAAAACCTTTTATATGAACATAAATTTGGACATCTCTAAAATGTAAGCAAAAACAGTAGCTGTGCAAAATAATCAAAACTTCAATGATGGAATCAATTTCCAACTTTTTATCGTAATACTGTAATCCAACAGAATCAATATTGTAGACATGATAATAAGAAGTAAAGAAGAAAGATACGTAGATGCTGCAATTCATGTGTTCTCAATATAGTAAGGAACTCTAGAGAGCTTTCTGAGTAATGGACGCCATCCAGTCCAGCTTCCAAATTCAGGCCTTTCGCACAACCAAATGTGGCTGGAGGAGAGATCGTCAAATGTCGATTCCAATAGATCTGTAACGTCTCGACCATACACAAAATTGAGGATTGGAAAGGGAAGAAGACTCTTATTGCTAATACCCTTTACTCTTGAACCAAAATTCATACACAAAATTGAGGATTGGAAAGGGAAGAAGACTCTTATTGCTAATTGCTTGGTAAGTATGGAATGTTAGGGTATTGTAGGGTTTAAAACATAGGTCAAAATGTTTTTAGTTTTGGATGAACGAAGATTGAGAGAAAGTGTATGTATATAATGAAGCACGAAATTAAACTTTGTCATCAATGATCATTTATGTGGGTTAGTTGTATAGTTGGAGAAATAACGGGTGGTAGACCAAAATTATTGCATACTGACATGAGTAGTAGTGTAGTACATAAAATGAAATTGTTTTAAGGAATTTGTTTGCTAGGAGAGCTTTACCTCCTACCTTTTCCGGCTCAAACTCTACAGTTTCGAACGCATGGTGTATTATAAATTTGTAACATATCAAAACATGTATTTTTCTATTTAATTAAAAAAAAATTTCAGTAGTTCACAAATCATTTTTATATATTTATAAATCAAATTAAAAGAAACTAGAAGCTAAACAAAGGAGAGTTAAAGGCATGAGGATCGCATTCAAATCTAAAGATCAATGTTGTCATTTATTTTCTTTAATGGTACTTTTCTTCTCTTACTTTCGTTTCTTCAAGTCATTCTTACTTTTCTTCTTCCTCACAATGCTCCAAATTTCCTCATGTGAGATCATTGCTCAATTTGGTTTCCCAGCTTTCACCCTAGCTGCCTACCTTTTGTATGCAATTCTTTCAGTTTAAACAACCTAATTAAATGTACATGTTAAAGATTAGCAGTATTCTAAATGCTCTAATTTTTATTTTAGGGAAAACCTACTTTTTGTGACTTTCTTTCTGTTATATAGCATGTTTCCGGTGCCTTTGTTTCGTCTTCTTTCGCCTATTTTGCTCACCAGCTTCAGATTCCATTTGCCAATAGAGATCAAATTGTGCTTATGGATTTGAGTACTTCTGGGGCATAATCATTAAGAATGGTTACTATTTTGGATAGATATGTAACGAAAATGTTGTTCCATTAATTGCTTTGGAAGACGTACAAATTCGTAACACCGCAAATGACCTAGGGCAGCGCTGGTTGACGACCTCTTTCGACACCATTTAAAGTCAAGTTTTAAACTCTGCGGTTATGGCTGACTCTCAAACTCCGTAGCTAGCTGCCAAATCTCTACATGGTTTCTGATCAGGCTTGTCAAACTTGGCCGTGTGCCTGCATGAGAGCCGCCTACACCTATTCAACAATTAAAGATACACTTTTTTTAAGGGATGCGGGGAATTAGAGTCAAATTGATAAAATAATGTGCTTTGGATGCTTGTCTAGATAGTGGAAGTAAAAGGACATGATTAATCTGAAAGCAATATAGTACTATATCGTAAGATGAGAATGCTGAATTGTGAACTCCAAGCGAAACTGAAAACAAAAGCAAAACAGAATTGAAAATCTATCAGTCGTGACCACAAATTTTCCTGAGACAGCATGATGACATAGTAAGGAACTCTAGCGAGCTTTTTGAGTAATGGACGCCATCCAGTCCAGCCTCCAAATTCAGGCCGCGTACGTACAACCAAATATCGCAGGAGGAGGAATCGGCAAATGTCGATTCCAGTAGATCTGTAAAGCATCTCGACCAAGGTTATAATAACTTTACTCTTGAACCAAAATTCATACACAATGGAAAGGGTACTCTTATTGCTTACTAACTTTGGGGTATTGAAGGATTTGAAACATGTGAAAATGTTTTCAGTTCTGGATGAACGAAGCCTTAGAGAGAAAGTGTATGTATATAGGGGTAGGGCAGCACCAAAACATTGTCATCAATGATCATTTATGAGGTTAATTGGTTGTCTTGTTGGGGAGATAAAGGTGGTACGTACATATCGAAATTATTGAATACTGACATAAATATTACTACGTACAGTGAAGTATCTAATTAAAGAATTTGTTAAGAGAGTTGTCAGTTGTACCTCCTGCCTTCCAGGCAGAAACTCTATAGTTTCGGTTTCCATCATTTGGTGTATTGCAACATATGAAAAATTCAATTCTTCATTTAATTAAAAATTGTAGTGGTTCATAAATCATTTTATTTTAATCAAATCAAAAGAAATATTTAAAGGAGAGATAAGGCATTAGGATCATTTTAAAATTAAAAGATTAATTTTGTCATTTATTTTCTTTAATTTTACCTTTTCTTCTCTTATTTTCGTTTCTTCACTTTTCTAATTTTCTTTCTTTCTCGACAGCCTTGTTTTAAATATCCGATTATCCTCATTCAACAAGAGCTCATTGCTGAATCTGATTCCCCATTTTCCTTATCCTCCCCACCTACCTACTTCCCAGCATAAAATGTTGGGTTCACTGCAATTTGGTCCCTCAAGACATCAAGATTTGAGTTTTGAGTTTTATATATATTTCAACATGTTTTGATCACTTGAACCAACCTTCACTAATTCAAAACAAAAGCTTTAATAACATTTGAATCTAATCTAAATAATCATTTCTGTGCTATTTGCAAATGACTAATCAGTTGATTACAAGGGAATGAAAGATGGGTGAAAATTTTGAAATAAACACACTCAGTGAGATTATTATACTGTATCTAATTTTATTTTCAAAACAAAAAAAAAAAGGAAAAAAATTCAGAATTTGAACCGAACTTCCGAATATAGCCCTATACAGTTCACAAAATTACAAATTTGGTACTGTGAAGCTTCAAAAGAAAATTTGCCAAACCAAAAGAAAACCACATTATTATTGGTGTTCTTTCTTCAGGTTGTGTGGAGGAGAATTGTGAACCGAGAAGAAGAAGATGGGTGGCGGTGCCTTGGCGCCATGGCTGCCGTTGCCAATCCCTTCCCACCATAGACCCACTAAGCTTTATTATACTGGTTGTACTAAATCAACGCCACGGCCTCGTTTTGGTTGCTTCAGTTCAATGGTTTCTCAAGCCGAACAAACACAACCATCTTCCTCGGCGGCCCCGGTTCCCTCCTCCTCCTCCACCTACCGCCCGGCTGTCATTCTTCCGGTTAGTCGACTTTTCACCTTCTTGATTTAGTAATTTAGAATGTGCCCAAATTCGGTTTATTGCTTCAAATTGTAGTTCAGTGCTAGATTGTTCATTTTGATCAGTGTGCATTTTAGAGGAGTTTTGATGCTCATATTGCGAAATCCCTTGTTAATCATGGTCTGCAGGGCTTGGGAAACAATACGAGTGATTATGAGAAATTAGCTCTGATACTAAAGGATTATGGTATTCCGACGGTGGTTCTGAAGGTTTCTAGAATCGATTGGTTGAGGAATGCTGCTGGTTTGCTTGATCCTAATTACTGGCGCGGCACTTTGCAGCCACGCCCTGTTCTTGATTGGTATATTTTCCGGGTTTTGACATTTTCCAATGAAATAATCGTAGTTTGTTTTGTGCTTGTTTCTTACGGAATATGTCACTCGTAGTAACTGAAGAACTCTTTGAGTAGGTACTTTAAGAAGTTGGATGAAGCTGTTAGTGAGGCAAATGAATTAGCCCAAGGTTAATTTTCTTGCTTATGATACTTACAAGTGTTGCAGTTTATTTATTTTGACAAAATTCTGTCAATGATAGGTATCTTCATCGTCTTCTTGAAATCATTCTGTCCCCATTTACTTGAGGTTGCATTGTCATCAGTTGTATAAGGAAGAAAAAAGACTTTTTTTTTTTTTGATTTGGTTGGTACATGAGATAAATATTGTTGCTCACAAGTGGTTTCGCTTGCTGATTTTTATGGAATTTCCAAGGTTTTATGCATCTTTCTTGTCTTTGTTAAATTCATTTTTTCCCAAATTGTTGAGGGCCCTCGTTATCTTTTGCCTTTGTGCTTTAGTATTAGACTCATAAAATTTTCGTCATGTGTGAACTTCTTCAGTTCAAACGTCTTGAACTCTTTGCTTGCGGATGGCTGTAAGAAACCCCTCTTTTTAAAAAGCTCCTACAGTGGGATGCAACTGATAAGTTTTGTTATGAGGGAAAGAAACCTTGTCTGGTTTGTATTGGAACTATAGATTAGTTTTGTTTCCAAGTCATCGGCTAATCCCTAAGATGTAGTATTAATTTTTCCTGACTAATGCAAATATTTACTATAACTAAATTGTGGGATGTGAGACACATTGTAAAAAAACTCCATTGTATATGGTTTCATTACCGGATTCCGGAACAGGATGGTTGCATATTAACTCCCTCTCTTATGAATGCACATTTTGAACTTGTGATGTTCATCGAATTTATGAACTTGGATGGTTTTTCGTAGCTGTTTAGGTTTATTACAGTTCTCTGTGACCATCTAATCACTTTGTATTCTTTCCTCTGAATATCAGTGACGAATAAAAATTGACATATGCATTCTTTTATTCTACAGGACGTATTACTAGCCACATAATCAGGCCAATTTTCTTGTAGGTGGTCCCTTGTCTTTTATTGGACATTCAGCTGGAGGATGGCTAGCCCGAGTATATATGAAAGAATTTGAATTCTCTAATATCTCCCTATTACTGACACTAGGAACACCACATCTGTAAGTGTAGTTTCTTTCTACCATGATTGCATTTGTGATTAAATTGATTGACAACTGTCTGGTTAATGGCTTCTCTGACAACAAACTAATTGTGCTTCCTTTCAGCCCTCCACCAAAGGGATTGCCAGGAGTTGTTGATCAGACAAGGGGCCTTTTGTACTATGTGGAAGAGCATTGCCCAAAAGCTGTCTATACACCAAAACTTAGATATGTATGTATCGCTGGGAGGTAAACTCAATAGCATAGGTTTTTTTTTGTATAGTAGGTGGAAGATTTCTTTTGCTGCTTTTCAATATTGGACTCTAATCTGAGTTTGAAACTCCAATAGGTAGCATGGTGCATGATTACATATACTCCATTGATATTTGATGTCACTTATCCATCCTAAAAACCATGCTTAACAAACTCTGTTTCATATATTTTTCCCCTCTACTTGGTACGTAGTGAAACTTCATCATGGCTTCTTTGCTGGAACAAAAGCTTAAGAAAAGAGAATTTTTATATGTACCACCTCTACTTGTTTTGTTTGATTATTGAATTCATAAGCTACGGCTTTCTATAGTTCATGAGCATTTAATTTCAAGCAATGGTGCTTAGCAGTTTTAGCAAGTGGATATTGATGTGTTAGTATATTGGAAGAGAATTGCTGGTTTGTAAAATGTTCCTGCGAAGCCTCTTTGGTTATTGATTTCGCTGCTGAGTAATTAGCTAATGGTTTAATAGGTTTTTTTGCCTGCTCTCTGTTCGCCATTGTTCTGTTCTGTTTCCTCCTTCGTCATAGGAACTACTCTCCCTGTGGGAACAGGATGGCAAGGTGCATGGTGCCTGACTAGTAGTTTGTTAGATAAATTTGACGGATACATTTGAATGATTTTAATTGTACTGCTGATTTAGAAAGAAACCGATAATGCCAAAATAATGACTTCTGTGTGAAAGCTTAGAACATCCTTAGCAGTTACCAATGTGCAGAGTAGCATTACCATGGACACAGATTTTTCTTTATGGGTAAAGATTGGGTTCCTTTTGATGATTATGTACAGTACACCATGCAAATGTGGAAAATCTTGCACTAACATTGCTTAAAGTTCTCGAAACCTTCTTTTCGCTCTAACCGGGAGACTAACTTAGGTTACTCCCCTTGAATGATAGGTTTATTGAAGGAGCTCGGTTTTTTGGCCCAAGTGATGGTGTTTCTGCTGTGGAAGTAAGCATTGAGGAACAAAATTCGGAGATTGCTGCTGTGAACGCAACGAAACCATCAGCTCCCACCTTCCGAGCTCGTTTTGTTGGTCAAGGATACAAGCAGGTAATTCCGTTTGACGATGTTAGACCAGATAACTGAGGATCAGATAATAAGAAAATTCGTAGCTATATTCCCATTCTTTCAATGCATTAAACGGTACAAGCATTATGTTTGCTTGAAGTCGATGTTTAACTCGGCAATGTTTCAGGTTTGTGGCCAAGCAGATACCTGGGGTGATGGAGTCGTGCCGGAAATATCTGCACATCTTGAGGGCGCATTGAATGTTACTCTAGATGGAGTGTATCACTCACCTGTCGGCTCCGATGATGAGACGAGACCATGGTATGGCTCTCCTGAAGTTGTTAAGCAATGGATTCACCATCTGCTGAACTAGTCTTGTAATTATAGATCCCTGAAAGGGAGAACATTGTTTGTGTTAATAGCTTTGTCCATTTGATTCTTTGGCTAGTTGTTACATTGTTTCTGCTGTTTCTGCTCCACTGATGGAGTCGGTATAAAATGAGGAAAATGTACAAAAAAATTTACAAAATCTTCTTCACGGTAGTGAATACTGTCTTTGTTATATTAGACTCGGATGTCTTCAAAGGATATTGCATTGTATATCGAATAAATGTGTTTCACATACACAGTAGTGAAGAAATGAAGGGTTCAAATCATATCAATCTAATCAGGCGTAGGAAAAATTGTAAGAGCCAACATAAGTTTTGTTTGGTAAAAGGTTGGAATAACTCATAGGGCATTCTCTGTTACATCCTCAATGAAACATCTCATGGAAGTATAGGATGATCCTCCTTCCTTTAGGACAGAATGACTCTTAGCTTGCATTTGCTTCACCTTCTTTCTCACTTCACCCTCTGGTTCCATAACAAGCCTAATCCCTTTTTCAATCAAATCTGCGCTCACATCTTCGCTGTTCAACTCCGGTGTTGCCTGAGCATGCCTCCTATAGTCCATTTTAATCTCCACTGACATCTCCAAATCCTTCACTAGCAGAAACGCATTCACCTGCTGCTCAGCGTAAAGCGGCCAAGTCGCGACCGGCACGCCAAACCATATACTTTCAAGCGTAGAATTCCATCCACAATGCGAAACAAAACCTCCCACTGCAGGATGTGACAAAACGGCAACCTGAGGCGCCCATCCGATTATCTTTCCCTTGTCAGAGTTCCGCTGCAAAAACCCTTCTGGCAATACTTCTCCCAAGTTCTCACAGTCTTCAGGGTATGCAAATTTGCCTGGAGGAGGAGGTTTTCTCAATGACCATAAGAACCGGTAACCGGAATGCTCGAGCGCGTTCGCGATTTCCTTCACTTGTTCACCATCAAATGCTCCTCCGCTTCCAAAACAAAGGAACACAACAGATGAATCAGGTTGAACATCCAACCATTTAATAATACTCTGTTCATCTTCTTGCTGCTCATTCCCTTTCCCTCCTTTAAGCTTCAACAAAGGTCCAATTGCGTAAACAGGCGGGATGTTACTATCATTACTCAAAGCCTCAATAGCTTGAGTTTCCAACTCTTTGAACGAGTTGATTAAGATTCCCTTAGCCTCCCTGCATCTCTTAGCCTGATCAAGAAACACCTTGCCGCCTCCTTCTTTGTCGAAAAAAACAGAGGGCAAAACGCTGGTCGGAACATGATTGATAAAACTCGGAACATCTAGAGCAGTGCTTTCTTCCAAAACCTTAAAATCTGTCACATCTACATTCTGATCATCTCTTAAGCTTTGGATATGTAACGTAAGGCCAAGCATTGAGGCACAAGAAGGATAAAAAACATAAAAAGGGACCCCATTTTCAATGGCAACATCAAACATGGATGTGCAGAACGCGTCAAAAACCACCCCAGCAAGCTTACAACTCGTATCGGAATCGATTAATCCAGTGAGGATTTCTCGGACATGAGGCTCATGGCTATCAACAAATCGGAAGAAAAACATGTTACCTGATAACATTTTTGAAGGGTCGGTTACTTGAGCTGGTTTTAGATCAATAAACTTGATCCGAGGATCCGAGGATTCTGTTGAGGATTTCTTGTAGCTGAGGAAGTTTGTGTCAAAAGGGTAGCCCATGATCAGGATTGTGATGGAGAGATGATTGTTTTGAGTGATGAGGAGATTTGCTAACTCAACAAATGGCAACAAATGGCCTGCCCCTGCTGCTGGAATGAACACCAACTCTGCTTTTCTTGTTTCTGCCATTGTTGATGACACTCAACTAGTGACTGGAAATCTAAGGGGGGAGGATTCAGCGGGAAAATAAAATGAGAACTTTAATTCGGGTTTTGCGAAGGTACTTCTATTATGTTAATTAAAGATACAAATAGATAATTACAGAATGGTTCTGAGAGTTTTGAAATGGGAAGATGAACATGGCTCGTATAGATATATGTACGTGGTGAGTTTGTCTTCTTCGTTAGAATAGAATTGCCAGTACGTTTGTTTCAGTTTTGTCATCAAGCTTTGCGCCAACTCCCTCTTTTTTAAAAAAATAAAAAAATTCTATAATAATAATTTGGGAGGTGATCTCTCAAAACAAAATCTAGCATCCAGAGCAAAATTTGAGTAAGAAGACATAATTACCTTTCATAAAAATGGGAGCATTTTTCATCATCTTCTTCACCTCTTTGCTCCGCTCCTCAAATCCACGGAGTTTTGCGGCGGGAGTTTCGCGGCCACCGCCGCAAAGGAAAACAACAAAAAAAACAAAGTTTTTTGAAATCTAGAGTTCTCGCCTATCTCATAGAGAGCTGTGTTCCCACTCTTCATCTCAAGAAAAAAGAGAAAAACTAGTTTTTCGCTCTTAAAAAGAGAAAAAAAGTTGTGTTCCCATGCTTCAATTCAGTTGAAACCAATAATTCGGAATTGAAACAATCAAATAAATTTTTCGCGATTGGAAAAGAATCACCAAATCCTAATTTTTAATTGGCTGGTAATTTTTTACTATCAATGTAACTGGTATGAATAAAGATATTATGAACTATCTTATTTTGATTATTTCATCATTTGTTTTTGCTTAACCGTCCTATTATTTGTTTGTAATAAAGGGTTTTGTAATTGGGATTTAGAGATTCTTTTCATATCGTAAAAAATTTATTTGATTGTTTCAGCGCTAAATTATTGGCTTCAATTGGATCGAAGTATGTAATACTAAGAGCGAAAAAACTAGTTTTTCTCTTTTTTCTTGGAATGAAGAATGGGAACACAGGATTCTTTATGAGATAGGTGAGAACTCTGGATTTCAAAAATTTTGCTTTTTTTTAGTTTTCCCTTGCGGCGGCGGCCGCAAAACTCCGTGGGTTTGAGGAGCGGAACTCTGCGGGTTTGAGGAGCAGAGCAAAGAGGTGAAGAAGATGATGGAAAATACCCCCATTTTTATGAAGAGTAATTATGTCTTCTTATTCAAATTTTGCCCTGTATGCTAGATTTTATTTTGGTAGAATCACCTCCCTAATAATTTATATAGAGTTTTTAAATTTATATTAATAGTAGTAAAAATAGTATACAAATTCAAAAACTTAATGTGTAATATTTTTTTGAGACGGAAAAAATAATAAAAGAAACTATCCAATTGGTGATCTTAATATATATATATATATATATACTAGACAAAAATGATTTTAGTTCGTCAGGCTTCTTCCTAAAAATAATAATAATAACACCAGAGAATTGTGCCATGAATGAAAAATGAGAAAACTGATAAATAGATGATTAAGATTGGAAAAGCCAATTCACAATTGTATAATGTTCTCTCTTCTTTTCTTCTTTAGGGCTTGTAATGCCATATTAAAGAAACTTTCCATATGTGAGATTGAGATGTAATTTCGAGTGATTAAATTGAGAAAGAGATAATTCAATTTGGATAGCCTAATTGTATAATATTCCTTTTCTTTCTTTTTTTGCTGGAGTGGGCTCATTCGTCAAGAACTCAATAAGCACTTGATTTAGTTAGGACTTTTAGCTTTAAATCAAAAGAAACTTTCTATATATGGCAAGGTTTAATCGTTCATATCATATTTTTTCAGACTGTAATTCTACTTTTAAATGAAAGATACAAATAAATAATATCAGAAGAATGGTTGTGGATGTTTTGAAAATGGGAAGACGAACATGGCTCATATACATATATGTACATGGTGAGTTTGTCTTCGTCATTAGAATAGGTTTCCAGTACGTTTGTTTCAGTTTAGTCATCAAGCTTTGCGTTTCTTTTTTTAAAAAAAAAGAAAAAAAATTAACAATTTACATAGAGTTTTCAAATTTGTAATAGTGGTAAAAGGTCCTAAAAGTAATATACAAACTCAAAACTCGATGTGCAATTCTTTATTTTTTATTTTTTATTTTTTTTTTTATTTTTTGCGAGAGAGAAGAAGTAATAAAATAAAATATCCAATTGGTGATACTAGACAAATGATTTTTGTTCGTCATTTTGCTTCTTCTATTGTAAAAGTAATAATAATAACAGCAGCGAATTGTACCATAAATGTGAAAAAAAAAAAATGTAAACTGAGAGTGATTAATTAGCACTTTAAACATGCATGTACAGGTTTATTGCAAAACTGAAAAATGGATGATTAAGATTGGATACGCCAATTCACAATTGTATAACGTTCTCTCTTCTTTTCTTCTTGAGGATTTGTAATGCCATACTAAAGTTACTTTCCATATGTGAGATCGATATGTAATTTAGAGTGATTAAATTGAGAAAGAGAAAATTAAATTTGGATACGCTAATAGTCTAATTGTATAATAATATTCATTTTCTTTCTTTTTTGCTGGGGTGGGCTCATTTGTCAAGAACTCAAGAAGCACTTAATTTAATTAGGACTTTTAGCTTTAGATCAAAAGAAACTTTCTATGGCAAGGTTTAATCGTTCATATCTTATCAGACTGTAATTCTACTTTTTGATAAAAGATACATGTAGATAATATTATAAGAATGGTTCTGGATGTTTTGCATGTAGGAAGATGAACATGGCTCAGATGCATATGTATTTGCCTTCTTCGTTAGAATAGAACTGCCAGTACGTTTGTTTCAGTTTTATCATCAAGCTTTGCGTTTGTGCCAAACCTATCTTTTTTAAAAATATATATATAATAATAATAATAGTTTACGTAGAGTTTTCAAATATTTACTAGTAGTAAAAGTAATATATAAATTCAAAATTTAATATGTACTTTCTTTTAGACAGCAAAAGTAATAAAAAAAAAAAAGAACTATCCGATTAGTGATATTAAAATATACTAGACAAATGATTTCTATTTGTCATTTTGCTTCTTCCATTGTAAAAATAATAATAATAATAACCCCAGAGAAATGTACCATAAATGAAAAATGTAACTGCGAGTGATTAATTAGCACGTTAAACATGTACAGTTTTATTACAAAACTTAATAAAACGGAGAAATTGATGATTAAGATTGGATACGCCAACTCGCAATTGTCTATGTTCTCTCTTTTTTTTCTTTTTTTTTCCTTTCTTTAGAACTTGTAGTGCCATACTAAAGAAACTTTCCGTACGTAAGATTGAGATGTAATTTAGAGTGATTAAATTGAGGAAGCGCTATATTAAATTTTGATAGTCTAGTTGTATAATATTTCATTTCTTTCTTTTTTGCTGGGGTGGACTCATTCGTCAAGAACTCAAGAGCCACTTAATTTAATTAGGACTTTTAGCTTTAGATGAAAAGAAATTTTTATGGAAATGTTTAATCGTTCATAACTTTTAAGACTGTAATTCTACTTTACGATCAAAGATACAAATAGATAATATCATAAGAATGGTTCTGGATGTTTTGGAAATGGGAAGATGAACATGGCTGATATACATATGTACATTGTGAGTTTATCTTCTTCATCAGAATAGAATTACCAGTACGTTTGTTTGAGTTTCGTCATCAAGCTTTGCGTTTTCGCCAATTCTTGCTTGGCTTTTCAGTCTGGATCCCAGCTGCTCATTTTTGGCATTTTGCGTTAATCTTTAGACCACAGAGCCACGGTCCACGTTGCACTATTTTTCCTTGGTTACTAAGTTTTGTTCCATTCGGATAAGAATTGAGCTAAGGAAATGATGTCAAATCTACCTCCTGGAATCGGTAAAAAGCTAAAGTGGTTCTGGAAATATTTTTCCAAAGTTACACTTTCAGTACAATCAGTTTTTTGTACCTTTTTGCCAATGTTACCCTGATTTAGCCAATATTTCAATTTAAATCCATCATCAGAGGAACTTACAGAATTTTTTTGTAGTAATATACAATTTTAACCTAAATTTTATTATTTTACAAGGGAAAGAAGACTAAAAGTAATGGTTATAATCATGAATATGTGACACTCATCAACTGGTTGGGAGGGAATAAAACTTAAAAAATTTTAGATATAAATTTCAAGAAAAATAAATCTGAAGAGTCTCCAACTTTCTTAAACATTTGTAATTTTATTTTATTTTATATCATTATTACTTTATGATTTTTAGAGGGCCTATTTTTGTATAATAATTTTTTGAATGTTAATTATTTTATTAATTTATCCAATTTGTTCAATTATTTGGGACCAAAATAAATTTATTATTTAATGAAATTTATTAATCTATAGATTATCAACGGCAAATTATCCAGTATACCCGGGGGCACCGTGCCCCCCTCCTATTTTTTGCACGAGTAGTCCTTATTGTATTTTTCATCAATCTTTCTATATTTTACAAGTATAGTCCCTGTCATTTTTTCTCTCTCTTCCAAAAAAAAACATCTCTAATCTTTCAACGAGAATATCTCATAATCCGTAAAGAATTAGAGAACGTGTTATGCATGAAAATTATAGTACTCGTCGAGATCTATTCGACAAGATCTATTTCGAATATTTTTTTTGAGTTTAAAAATGAATAAATTTTGATGGACAGAATAAGTTAGATATCCAGTAAGTTGGATAACCAGTATGCACGAGTTGGATAACCAGTATGAACAAAGTGGATAACTAGTTCAAACAATTTGGATAACCATGTAAATCCATTGGATAACCAGCATTAGCGCATTGGATAATCCAATACAAACCAATGATTGGATAACCAATACAAACGAGTTGGATAACCAACTTAGTTTATTATTTTTTAAAAAAATAATAAAAACAAAAACCAGGTTGGATAAATAATACTAATTACTTGGATAATCTATCCATCAGAATTAAGTCATTTTTAAGCCCGAAAAAATATTCACTGTGGATTTCGTTGGATAGATCTCGACGAGTACTATAAATTTCATATATAATTCGTTCACAAATTCTTCACGGATTGGAAGATATGCTCGTTGAAAGATTAGAGTTGGATATACATACAAACCAAATGGATGGATATTCAGTACATATAAGTTGGATAACCAGTATGAACAGAATGGATATCCAGTTTAAAAAGATGGATAACCAACTTATTTTACATTCATATTATTCTTTTCCTTGTATCTAATGATTCGTAAAGAATTATAACACGAATTATATATGAAATTTATAGTACTCGACGAGATCTATCCGATAAGATCCATGTTGAATATTTTTTTTGAACTTTAAATGCATTTAAATTTTACGGGCAGAAATGAAGAAATGCGTTTTTTGTTTTTCTTTGAAAAATGGTTGTCCGTTATGTTCCTACTGATTATCCAACCGGTTTGGACTGATTATCCATTCTATTCGTACTTGTTATCCAATCATATGTTTGACATTCACTCTTCAAAAAAAAAGAAAAGAAAGATAACAACCTCTATTCTGCCCGTCAGAATTAAGTCATTTTTAAGCCCGAAAAAATGTTCACTGTGGATTTCGTTGGATAGATCTCGACGAGTACTATAAATTTCATATATAATTCGTTCACAAATTTTTCACGGATTGGGAGATATGCTCGTTGAAAGATTAGAGTTGGATATGCATGAACACAGTGGATATCCAGTACAAACAAGTTGGATAATCAGCATGAACACAGTGGATAACCAGTATTAGCGCATTGGATAATCAATATGAACACATTGGATAACCAGTTCAAACAATTTGGATAAGCATGTAAATCCATTGGATAACCAGTATTAGCGTATTGGATAATCAATATGAATACATTGAATATCCAGTTTAAGAAGATGGATAACCAACTTATTTTGAATTAAGAAGTTAGATAACCAAATGGATAAGCAGTAGAAACAAAATGCATAACCAGTTTAAACTGATTGGATAATCAGTATGAACACAATGGATAACCAATTTAGAACAAGTTGGTTATCCATCTTGTAAAACTGGATATCCACCCCTATTCTGTCCATCAGAATTAAGTCATTTTTAAACCCGAAAAAATATTCACTATGGATTTTGTTGGATAGATCTCGACGAGTACTATAAATTTCATATATAATTCGTTCACAAATTCTTCACGGATTGGGAGATATGGTCGTTGAAAGATTAGAGATGTTTTTTTTGGAAGAGAGAAAAAAAAATGACAGGGACTATACTTGTAAAATATAGAAAAATTGATAAAAAGTACAATAAGGGCTAAAAATGCAAAAAATAGGAGGGGGGCACGGTCCCCGGATATACTGGATACAGACTCTTATCAACTTAGGGAGTTTTTACCGTTTATAAAAGGGAGCGTGCAATTCAATTAATCAACAAATAATTTTCCTCAGTTAAGTTTTCATAAACAAGGTAAACTATTTATGGTTATCTAGTAGTCTTACGGTCTTACCTACGTCCATTAAGAAAAGAAAAAGACTTTACAATTATACTATTTAGTTCTCATTTAATTTAGAGATTTGTACTTAAAATAATATAAAAAGTCTTAAAACTCAATATTCACTAACTATTTTTCAAGAACACATGGAGTAATTCTTCAAGACAAACAATGAAAAATGTTAATATCCATCTCACCAAATTCATGTCAACATTGTAAATGATCAAGTGGCTCGCGCGGAACCGGTGAAGTGCTGCTCAATTGAGTTTTGAGCAACAGAAAAATATCGGATATTGCACAAGGCTCAGAATACAAGGCTTGGTATTTCTATATGGTATGTATCATTATTGGACACCAACTAATCATTAATTCTTGCATTTGTGAAGATGTGGTTTGTTAATATATCCCATGAGCAAGAGAATGTCTCATATATAGAAGCAGTGCTGGACTGAAAATCATTCACAAACTAAACAGCAACGCGTGAAATTCAGGATTCAAATCCGATTACTATAATTACGCAACAGAATAATTCCAAGAACCAAACATTAAACCTGTTTGGTAAAGAAAAGGTCTGGAATGTCTTAGAGGACATTGCTCATTACATCATCAATGAAACCTCTCACAAAAGTATAAGATGATCCTCCTTCCTCAAACACAGAATGACTCTTACCTTGCATTTGCTTCACCTTCTTTCTCACTTCATTCTCTGGTTCCATAACAAGCCTAATCCCCTTTTCAATCAGTTCAGCGCTTACATCTTCGCCACTCAACTCCGGCGTTGTTCGATTCCGATGCCTATAGTCCATTTTAATCTCCACAGCCATTTCCAAATCCTTCACCAGCAGAAATGCATTCAATTGCTGCTCTGCATAAAGCGGCCAAGTCGCGACCGGCACGCCAAACCAAATACTTTCCAGCGTCGAATTCCATCCACAATGCGAAACAAAGCCTCCAACTGCAGGATGCGACAGAATAGCAGCCTGTGGTGCCCATCCTATGATTTTTCCGACAACCGAATTTCGCTGCAAGAACCCTTCTGGCAATACTTCTTCCAGATTCTCATAGTCATCAGGGTAACCAGAGTTGCCTGAAGCAAGTGGCTTTCTCAATGACCACAAGAAACGGTAACCAGAACGCTCGATTCCATTGGCCATTTCCTTGACTTGTTCACCATCAAATGCTCCTTTACTTCCAAAACAGAGGAACACAACAGAGGATTCAGGTTGAGCATCCAGCCATTTCATAATACTCTGTTCATCATCTTCTTCTTCTTGCTGCTTCTTCTGGTTATCGTTCCATTTCCCTCCTTTAAGGTTCAATAAAGGTCCAATTGTGTAAACTGGTGGGATTTTACAGTCATTACTGAAAGCTACCATGGCTTGGATTTCCAATTCTTTGAAGGTGTTAACTATGATTCCTTTAGTCTCTCTGTATCTTTTCACCAGGTCAAGAAACACATCTCTGATTGCGACATTGTCCAAGAACTCAGATGGCACTACTCTGGTCGGAACAGGATTGATATAAGTTGGAACATCAATCTCAGTGTTCTTGTCTGAATCCTTAAAATCAGTAAGATCCACTTTGTGATCATCTCTCAAGCTTTGGAGATGCAACACTAAACCAAGCATTGAAGCCCCACTAGTGAAAAACAAGTAATATGGGACCCCAAATTCAATGGCCACATCAAACATGGATGTGCAGAACATATCCGCAACAACTCCGGCGAGCTTAGACGTCCCGGAATCGTTTATTCCGGTAAGGATTTCTCGGACATGAGGCTTATGGCTGTCAATAAATTGGAAGAAAAAATTGACACCTGATGATGTTTGTGAAGAAGGGTCAGTCAGTTCTGGTTTTAGATCAATAAACTTGATCCGAGGATCCGATGATTCTGCCATGGATTTCTTCAAGCCGATGAAGCTTGTGTCGGAGGGGAGGGTCATGATGAGGATCTTGACGGAAAGATGATTGGTTCGAGTGATGAGGAGATTTGCAAACTCAACTAATGGCACCAAATGGCTTACCCCTGCTGAGGGAATCAACACCAACTCTGCTTTTCTCGTTTCTGCCATTCTTGTTTGTATGAATATCTATGATACCCAGTCACTAATACTATATCCTGACGCCAAGAAGATGGGAAAGAAGAAAAGAACACCCAGAATTTTGTTAGTGCTATCAATGGTACTTACTGTGTCTTGTTGATGTAAATAGATATCATATGAATGAATATGGACCTTGTAGAATGAGGAGATAAGATAGAGTGAAGTCATCATCATGGCCTACGTTGTGTTTTTTATTGCTAAAATAGTAATACATCAATGGAGTTGTTTTAATGTTTAAACCTTAAGAAGGGATTATTGGCAAAATGTCCATCCGACCATAACAGTGTCTAATCGGTCGCTATAGTGCGGCCAAAGGGATCAATGTGTGGTGTTTTGTCTTCTTTAATAATAGAATCGCAGTGCGTACGTTTCAATTCTGGTCCGTATGCTTTGCATTTCTCGGAGATATTCATAATAAAGTGCGAACTAAATCATGTGGTAGAGATTTCCAACTAGTCATTGAAAAAACATAACAATCCCAAAGAATACATTGTTCATTTTAGGTTCAGAAAAGATTCCCAAAGGGGAGGAATTTGATTCCTTGTTAGCTCCAGTTGATTTGATTTTTTAGACTGCTTCGAACTCGTAGAATTGTGAAAATCTATAGTAATTCGACAAACCCACCGTGTGATTATTCCTTTGTATGTCTCATTTTAATAGTTTACATAATTATATCGTTTTGATTTAATAAGTAAATTATTAATGACGAAGTATGGATCTGCACCAACGTCTCCGATTGGTTGAACCGGCAGCCATGGCGAAGTCAAAACCCTAAAACCTGCAAAAGAGGGCTTCAGGGTCACCCGAGGGTAGACACTCCGATGCTTAAGTCAGTAAGAGTATTCGTAAAAGAGGTATTAAGTTAGGGTCCATAGACCGTACCTTTAACCATGAGGGGTTGATCCCTATTTATAGAGCTAGGTTATGGAACCCTTTCTTGGTAAGAAAGTAATTAGGAATCGACCTAGAAGCTTCCAGAGGCCGGTTGGACCTTTTACCGAACTTGGGTGGCCTAGTCACGGGCCGTACTAACTTGGACTCGTCAATTAAATTAAGACGTTGGAGTATTATGTGTATATGCTATAAACATGTAGTCATTAGTTTTGTTTTCATCCCATATTCATCCATAAAAGAGACAAAGTAAAATATTATTCCACTTATCCCGAATAATTGTCCTGTTTAAATTTTCAATTTTAGTATAACTTGTAAATCAAATTTTAGACGGGAAATTAAATATCCTTTCCTTCATTTTAAAATATAAGTCACTTTAAATTTTGCATGCAAATGAATGAGACAACATTCAACAATTAATTTATGAATCAAATATTCTTTTTTACCCCCATTAAATATATTAAAATTATAAACAAGACTAAATAAAAAGAAGTTGAAACTATTTATTAAGGGTAAAGTTGGAACATTAGTAATTAATTTATCTTGAAATTCTAAAGTGGCTTTTGTTTTGAAATGGAGGAAGTATTATTTTTGGTTAGTTTTTGTCCTGCAAATGGAAGTTAAAAATGCAGGTGTCTTGAAAATAGAGTTATGTGTAGATCGAAAGAGTTGATTCTTTCAAAAGCTGAACCCAACACTGAATCGAAAGAACTTGACTTTGGAGACAGCAGTTTATAAATATACTGATAACACATCTTTATCATTTGTATCAGGGATCGCAAGAAAAAATTTACAGTTTTAACTCGTAAATGTAGTCAATTTGGAGTTTTCTTGTTAATCTTTCAAGTTACGTTCGAAATTGCGTTGAAAACACAAATTATAGAGATGGTCTAAGCAAATCCCCACATGTCATGAATCATGATTGCTATAACCTCATTCACCTCTGATATTTGATGAAAACAATGATTCAACAAAGCCAAAAATCTTTTCAATCCAAAACCAAAAAAAAAAAAAAAAAAACTAATTAACCCTTTCAGGTGCAATACAATCTGACTGAAGACTATTGATACTTTGTTTTAGGGAAAGGTTGGAAAATCTCAGAGGGCATGGCTTATTACATCATCAATGAAACATCCCACAGAAGTATAAGATGATCCTCCCTCCTTCAGGAAAGAATGACTGTTAGCTTGCATTTGCTTCACCTTCTTTCTCACTTCACTCTCTGGTTCCATAACAATCCTAATCCCCTTTTCAATCAAATCTGCACTTACATCTTCGCTACACAACTCGGGCTTTTCCCGAGTACGATGCCTATAGTCCATTTTAATCTCCACAGCCATCTTCAATTCCTTCACCAGCAGAAATGCAATCTCTTGCTGCTCGGCGTAAAGCGGCCAAGTCGCGACAGGCACACCAAACCATATACTTTCCAGCGTCGAATTCCACCCGCAGTGCGAAACAAAGCCTCCCACTGCCGGATGTGACAGAATGGCAGCCTGTGGTGCCCATCCTATAATTTTTCCGACATCCGAATTGCGCTGCAAGAACCCTTCTGGCAATACTTCTTCCAGATTCTCATAGTCATCAGGGCAACCAAAACTGCCCGAAGGGAGTGGCTTTCTCAATGACCATAAGAACCGGTATCCAGAACGCTCTATCCCATTCGCCATTTCCTTGACTTGTTCACCATCAAATGCTCCTCCACTTCCAAAACAGAGGAACAAAACAGAGGATTCAGGTTGACCATCTAGCCATTTCGTGATACTCTGTTCATCTTCTTCTTCTTCTTTCTGCTTCTTCTGGTTATCATTCCATTTCCCTCCTTTAAGGTTCAACAAAGGTCCAATTGGGTAAACAGGGGGGACTTTACTGTCATTAGTCAAAACCTCAACTGCTTGGAATTCCAATTCTTTGAAGGTGTTGATTATGATTCCATTAGCCTTTCTGTATCTCTTCGCCAGATCCAGAAACACATCACTGCATCCTTTCTCCAAGAACACAGATGGAATTACTCTGACCGGAACAGGATTGATGAAAGTCGGAACTTGAATCTGGGTACTTTTGTCCGAAACCTTAAACTCCGTAACATCCACATTGTGATCATCTCTCAAGCTTTGGAGATGCATCATTAACCCAAGCATTGAAGCCCCACTAACGAAAAACAAGTAATATGGGACCCCAAATTCAATGGCCACATCGAAAAAGGATGTGCAGAACATATCCACAACAATCCCGGCAAGTTTAGAAGTCTCTGAATCCTTTATTCCAGTTAGGATTTCTCGGACATGAGGCTTATGGCTGTCAACAAACTGGAACAAAAACTGGACTCCGGCTGCTGGTGTTTTTGAAGGGTCGGTCAGTTCTGGTTTTAGATCAACAAACTTGATCCGAGGATCCGAGGATTCTTCCAAGGATTTCTTGTAGCTAAGGATTTTTGTGTCAGAGGGGAGGGCCATGATTAGGATAGTGATGGAGAGATCATTGGTTTGAGTGATGAGGAGATTTGCTAACTCTACAAATGGCACCAAATGGCTTACCTCTGCTGATGGAATCAACACAAGCTCTGCCTTTTTCGATTCCGCCATTCTTGTTGATATTCACTATGGGATTGGGTGCTATTTTTCGGGTTTTCAAAGGTATTTCTGCTACAACTAACGATACTTTGATACAAATATATAACAGGCAAACGAATCTTGATCTTTCGCGGGATGAAGTGAAGTCTTCATGGCTTACGGGGAAAACGATTAGATGCCGGCCAGGCTGCCACCACCAAGTTGGATGGTTGTAAGAAAAAAATTGAGCAACTCAAATCAAACCTGCTAGCATGTAGGGCGTTGACGTGGTAGAAGTCATCGGTTTGATATTTCACTCTACAATTTTTTTTATTTTTTTTATTTTTTTACAATGAAGGAGGCTATTGCCTAAAAAATGAAACTACTACTTAATAGACAGGGATTTCAACAAAGTCAAACCCCAACCAAGAAAGTGAACAAAGAACAAAAACAAGAAAAATACGAATAAGACCTTATTTAACAGAAATTTGATCGCTTTAAAACTTCTTCCATAAATGCCTGAGACGTCTTCATGGTCTTGTGATATCCGCAATCCAAACAATGTCATCTCTAGAAAATAAGATGCATGCTTAATATATGTAAAGGCTCGAAAGAAACTCATCGAACCAATCTCCAAAAAACACCGAGTGATGCTATTAACAAGAAAAACCAAACGAAAAAATAAGACAATATTCATCAAATACTACATGGAACGGTAGTTTCCAAACAAACCCCATCATCAACAGATGGACTACCATCACCTTTCACCTAACTAATGGATCCGCCAGAAAAGAATTCCGCCGGCGACTAGTTTCACTCTACAAATTTAATTTTATTAATATCTCTACTTACATGACAATCAAATTGACATATCTACATTAACCACACAAATTTATGAAATAATTTAATTCAAACAAAAAGCTCTTGTCCTGTCCTTTTTCTTTCTTTCTTTTTATTTTTATTTTCCTTTCTCTTTTGTTTCGTGATTGAGTCCATGCCTAAGAACACCCTTTAACTACTTACATCAAATCCTTGATTCATCCCTGCCACTTTTAGCTTTAATAATTTGAGCTTCTAATTCTTCGCATCGGCTAACAGTCTTAATACTGAAGAAAAAGTATCAATTAATTTTATGCTATTTTGCAGAGACAAGTACTTATTTGAATCGTATTTCATCATTATTGTTTAAGGATATTGGTTTGGCATTGTTTATCAAAAAAAAAAAAAAAGATATGTGCACTTTTATGTGACATTCTCTATTGCACCATTAAATAGCGTTATAAAAATTTTGTCGTTGATTTTAATATTTACACCATTCACAATCAGTTTTGAAATAATAAATCTTAGAAATAAAGATTCATTTGTTGGGGGTTAAGTCCTATTTATTCTTATTTTCATAGTTAAAAAATCAATAAAAATAAGAAAAATTTCATTAAAATTCATGATTGGTATAAAAAATAAATAACAATACGAAAATTATCGACATTCAAAATCTGTGTTTATGGTAAATGTATTAACACAAATTATATGATTTGTACATATTAGATTATGCAACAGAGACTGATACAGAAAAGTGTCATAGAAAATTGTTTGTCGTTGACAGAGATGCTTTACGCCACTTTTATATGACATTATTTGTTACATCATTCAATAACATTATGTAAACTTTGTTGTATGCATTAACATTTATACCATTCGCAATCATTTTCAAAAGATTAAAATCCAATAATGGTCATTTACATCAGGTCAAATGCACATTTTGGTTATCTACATTAACATTTGCTTGAAATGGTCCTTTAAATTTTTGTTTGTAATTTTTTTTGTCCTTCGACACTATTTTAGGAGTTTGACCATATTTGGGTTCAAGCCAACCGGGGAATCTTTGGAATAAAAATTTATTACTTTCAGAAAAAATTAACATTGAATGAAATAACATTAAATTAATTAAAAAAAATTTTAAAATCATAATTTAGTTTTTTTAGTTTTTCAGCCATTTTTTTAACTCAAGCCCACCAATGTGAAATTTTTATCCTATATATTATCGATTATCGATCACGACAAAACCCTAGACATCCATTACTTAACCCTCCCAATCAAGATCTAAATTTATTAATGAAATAATTCAGAATAATAAAATTAATAAATTATTATTTTTTAAAAAATTCAAATATTTATGTTCTTTTTTAAAAAAAATAAAGACTAATTTTTTAAATTGTAAAGCATTTCATATTTAACTCTTCTTATATAATATCTTATTTAAAATAATTCTAAATCCTGTGCAATTTGTAAACAATTTCTTAATTTAGTAAGTACATAAATTTTTGAATTTTTGGAAAACTAAATTTTTTTTAATTTTGCTACTTTGAGTTATTTTGATTAATTTAATATCATTTTAATATAAACATTACAGCAAAACCTTCATAATAACACTTACATACATCAATAATCTCTATTAGATAGTAAGTTTTTAGTGTGTAATTAAGACAAGTAAAGAAAATGAAGAAACTCAAGATGATTTTTTTAGGAATCTATTTTGTAAATATAATTCCCTACAATTTCATAATTTAAAAATATCTAAAATAGAAAATTAGATTAAAATAATTTAATTGTTTTTTATATTAGATTTTGTCATAAAAGTAATATTTTTACTTTATCGCAAGCCCACCAAATTAAAAATAATATAGAATTTGTGCAAAGAATTTTTAATATTTTTCATTTTATTTTAAAATTAATTTTTTAAGATTTACAATTTAATATTTATTTTAATTCTTAAATATTTTTATAAATTTAATTATTTTAAAATTTATATTAATATTTTATTCAATATTGATTTTTTAATAATAAATATTTGTAATTCCAAAGATGCCCCTATTGACTTGACCCAAATATGGTTAAACTGCTGGACTAGTGTCAAAGAACCAAAAAATTTACAAACAAAAATGTAGAGGACAATTTCAATCAAATATTAATGTCAAGGACTAAAATGTGTATTTGGACCAATGTAAAAGGTCATTTTTGGATTTTAGTCTTTTCAAAATAGTATATTTTAGAAATAAGAATTATTTTTTTGAGTTCTTCCTGTATGCGATAGGTGTTGCGAACTCCAACACTTAGTCTACTTGTAATAATATCAACTGACAATTGGCACTCTATTTAATTCCGTTTTTTAGGTGAAATTGAAACTCCAATATATTTCATGGGGAAGGCAACCCATCTATAATAGAAGGCACCCTATCTGAGGAATTTTTTCCTTAAATATATTTCCTTATATATACCTGGACAAAAATAAATCTTTCAAAAATTTTGTGGACAAACTTATATATCCCGGATTTAGGAAATCCGAATGGGGGAGAAACTCGGATTTCGGAAATCCGAACCTCGATAAACTCATATTATAAAAATCCGACTTTGTGTTACGTAAATCCTATGTTAAATTAATGACAGAAATTAGTGTAATTAATCTAAATCCGGATTTTCTAAATCCGTATTTACGAATAAAATATTAATTTTCGGATCGAAAAAAATATGTGTTGAAAAATTAAATTTGGAAAAACCCGAATCACAGTAATCCGAATATATGTAGATTCGGATTACCGAAATCCGAATCCCCTCCGTTTTCTGAAAAATACTAACTCTGAGTTGGCTTCATACTCGGATTTACGAAATCCGAATCCTTTACAAAAAGTCTGAGTTCGGATTTCGCAAATCCGAGTCTATGTCAGAACTGAAAAAAAAATTGGACTGGCTAAACCTGTTTACAGCACCAACAACAATGAAACATTGGAAAACAGAAATTTAATGGCAACAAAACAATAAACGGCATTCGATTAACAACAAAACAAATCAAGTTTCATACCAAAATCAATACAAAAACTACTTTAAATGTGCGAAATACATCAAATATCTCATTTTTTCCATTTTCCTTTATTGTGCGCATCCGGAGTGTATTTATTTGAGCCCTGCCGGATCCTGTCTCCCCTCTTAAGATACGTGAGTATTGAACTCTGTTGTGATTGCGACTGTCCACCAAACCGAGCCTCGGGTTGGGGTTGGGATTGGGACTCACCAATGGTGAGAAATTTGACTTCGGTTGTAGTTGCGACTGTCGACCAAACTGAGTCTCGGGTCCACCAAGGTCAAACTGAGTCTCGGGTCCACCAACGTCTTCAAAATGAGTCTCGACCTGGATGCACGAGCCTCGAGAAGAATGTGCTTGATCCTCATTTTGTTGACCCTCAGTTTGTTGTTGCAATGTCCGAGGGGGGATTGGGACCTTCCTCTTTCCTCCTCCTCCAATTTATCTCTCGACCACGGTTTCGTTTTTTACCCGGTGGAGGTTGTGAGGACAAAGATGGATCTTCATCTACTAGGATTTGGGTATCCTCCACCTCCATCTCATCATTTGCGCCCAGGATTAAAGCAGCATGTGTTTGATTGATGATATCGTCCAAATTCTTGTCGAGTTCTTCGTCTAGGAGATTCTCATCTTCTCGTTTTTCTCTAAACTTCTCGGTACTCAAGCGAATGTTGTTCAATACTTCACCCTGAAAAGAAATTGGGACGTTAATTAAGAGAGTAAAATTCTAAAAAAATAAAAATGAAAAAAAATAAAAAATGAAAACATAAGAAATAATAAAAGAAATATAGAATGAACTCACATATAATTTCACTCAGCTCGAAGAAGTCTCGTATCCTTGATGTTCATAATTACCGGGATTGGATATCAATCTGACAGTGTTTACCATGAACCATTCATAGTACCCCTCATATACAGAGCCTGGGTCTCCTTCCTCCAAATCTCGTAGCACGTACTCTTCTCTCCTATTCCAATGACGACGTACTGCGGAATGGTGGTCCACCCAATTGTTGCTAGGATAGCCAGATATACTGTAGGCGTGATCGAGAAGGAATGATGCGTTATCTTTAATCATAGGGCGCTTGGGAACATCCTGTATGTATCCAAATTTTCTCACAACTCTGCCTGACTCATGGGGTTCCCTAATAGCCCAACAGAACATCAAACACCTGGTCGTCCAGAGTACTGTGATGCCTCGCACAGTCCAGAGTACAAACCAGCCAGCAGTGCCGATTCCCAATTGTGTCGACTACACTGATCCAAATCCTCAACCTGGGCCAAGAATTGCAGATTGACAGTGTTTTGCGTCTTGTTAGAAAATATGAAACTGCTAATAAAATGCAGTATAAGTGTCCGAGCCCTTTGCTCGAATCGATGGACAGTGGAATTCTCAGGGAGTGCGCGGCCCATCTCATCTTCGAAAATACCAACATTGACACATTGGCCATTTACTTGGGCTGGCCGGAATCCCAAATAAGTCTCACATCGATCCCGCTATTCATCTGCAGTCCGGGTAACTGTCGTCCCGTACACCGGGTCACCATCCACCCGAATACCAAAGAGGACCTCGACGTCCTGTAGTGTCACAGTCACCTCTCCGAAATTGAAATGGAAAGTGTGGGTTTCTGGCCTCCACCGTTCCACCAACGCGGTAATGAGACCGAGATCCACTCTTTTGTAGCCTACTTTCACGTATCTAGAGGCAAGAATGCATCAAAAGCTCCAATTCGCCCTTGTTTGAGCTGCAAAAATAAAAAATCCAACTCGGTTCTCGAATGAGAACTGTCTGAATTTTTTTTTCTTTTATAGCACGTTAAACTCGGGTTTACGAAATCTGAGTCCGTAAGTAACTCGGATTTTAGAAATCCGAATTACCGTGGCTCGAATTTCCTGAATCCGGATTTGGTCAATTCCGGATTATTTTATTCATTTCTTGGTCCTCAAATTTATGGCAAATGGCTACTTCCACCGACCAAAATTAAAGGCAGTCGGATTTCCAAAATCCGAATTCGTAAAACCAGATTACGGACTTCAGGTTTTTGGATTCAAAAGTTTCGCGCCGCGATTTTCTTTTTTTTTCTTTTTGTACATTATTGTTCATTTAAGGAGTCCGGGTCCTGGACTCCTTATTTGAGTTCAAATATTTCGCGCCTCAATTTATTATTTTTTAACTAAATTCGGATTTCGGAAATCCGAACGGCACTGTTCATTTAAGAATTTTTAAAAACTATTATCCAACAAAATTTATTTAATTATTATTTTATTATTAAATATAGGCTCGGATTTACGAAACCCGAATCTTTAATTTTAATTAGAACTCGAATTTCGTAAATCCGAGAGATATACTGAAAAATTTAAATTTATTCACATTTATTTTAATTAATTTTTTTTGGGAAAAAGCCCCTGAGTCTATTCCCGCTACGATAGAATAATTTCAAACTATTAAACTATTTGGTTTTAGTTTCAACGACACATATGTTGGTTAGTTGATTTTATTTTGATATGTGAAGAGTAAGGAATAATTTTTGCTTCTCCATTAATTCACAGTTCGTGAGGTTACTGAAACTTTCGCTCGGTCCACAGATTCTCTAGTAATTTTCCCAACTCTTTATTCAAAAACATAGACTCCCAATAGCCCAAAAGGGGCGAAATTGTTTCTTTTAGCTTCCGTTGATTTGATTTTTAGGCTACTTCGTACTCTTACAGAAGTGGAAATCTGGAGTAGTAGTTGGACTTGGACAAACTCTCTCCATTTTATTCATCAAAATCAATGAATTGGTTTTATATTTTTTAAGTGAATTATTAAAATGAAACGAATGGAGTACAGTGTATGTTAGAGGGATGTAATCATTAGCTTTTTTTTTTTCATCCCATTTTCAACCGTGAAAAGAGGCAATGTCAAATTTATATTGTTTTTTATCTAGAACTGGTTGATTTAAATTTTTATTTTTAGTATAATTTATATTAAAAATTAAATTTCAAACTAGATAATTACTTCAAAATATAGTATAAAAATTACATATCCTTCACAATGGTGGGATAGTGTTTTTGATTAGTTTTTGTCTTGCAAATGGTCGTTAAAAATGCAAGTGTCTTGAAAATATAGTACACATGTAAATCGAAAGTGTTGATTCTTCAAACAACCGGACCCAACATCAAATAGCGGATGTTCAAATCTCTGTCGGACCGGGTGGATTACGGAGATTTGAAGATCCACCATCAAGAGTCAAACCTTGGTTGAAACATGATATGTTAGGTGTTGCATATACTTGAAATGTGCTGAGTTGAAACTAGACTTGTTGCCTCTCTTTTCTATAACGAAAAACATCAAATGTCGGTTCCTTACACTTGTTGAAACTAGGTTTTTGGGGCGAATTCCGTGCAGCAGATTATGACTAAAATGTCCAAATGGTCCCCCTTACATTTGAGCCTACTTGAATTTACGTCCCTAACATTAACATTTCAATATCGTTGTCCCAAACATTATGTTTTCAAACTTTTTTTGTCCCATTTCACTGTTTTCGGCCGTTGACATGCCGGAATCAGAGTTAAACTTTCATTAAAATTTAAATCATTAAAAATATTTTAAAATTCACATTTCATTATTTAATTGTTAAAATATTATTTATTAATTTAAAATATTTTTATAAAATTTTAAAATTTACATTATTTTCAATCCTTTTTTCATTTACCATTTACCTTAGGTACACAATAAATGGTAATTATGTTGAACTTTTAACTTTGGACCTACTATAACATAAAAATTTTATCAAGTTAGTATAAATAATTCAAAATTCAAAAAAAAATTTAATAAAATAAAAAGCAAAACTAATATTTTTTTACTTTAACCGCTACAGTAAATCATAATTAGTAATTTTAAATTATTTACTGTAATTCGGTAAATTTTTTAAATTACAGTGGATCCAAGGTTAAAAGTACAAAATAATTACTATTTAAGGTTTACTGTAGCGGTCAAAGTAAAAAAAAAAATCTAGGAATTGAATGATAGTCTAGTGGTTAGGTTACTGCCATTTTTGGTAATAAACTTAGGGTTCTATTTCTACCAGGGGTTGTAGGGGAGGAGGGTTTACCCACATTTAAGTAGGGTCCACTAGGGTGGATTTTTTTATAAAAAAAAAGTAAAAAAAGCTTAGTTTTGCTTTTTGTTTTTTCTAGAAAAAAATTAAATTTTGAATTATTTACTTTAACTCGATAAATTTTTTAAGTTACAATGGATCCAAAGTTAAAAGTGTAGCATAATTATCATTTAGGGTCTACTGTAGCGGTCAAAGTAAAAAAAACAAAAAATCTTGATTTTGTTTTTTCTTTTTTTTAAAAAAAATTAAAATTTTAATTATTTACTGTAACTCGACAAATTTTGTAAGTTACAATGGCCCAAGGTTAAAGGTGCAACATAATTACCATTTATTTTATACTTAAGGTAAATGATAAATGGAAAAGATAATTTTGAAAATAATATAAATTTTAAATTTTATAATAATATTTTAAATTAATAAATAATATTTTAACAATTAAATAATAAAATGTGAATTTTAAATAATTTTTAATGTTTGGGACTACGATGTTAAAATTTTAATATTAGGGATTTAAATTCAAGTAGGCCCAAATGTAAGGGATCATTTGGACATTTTAGTCGCAGATTATCAATATTAATAATACGAGTACATTTTATCATTTGGCTCCTAACTGGTTTATTGTTTCTGGTAGAAACGGGAGTTTGTTATCAATTATCATATACGCCCTCTAATTCTTACTATAAGATATTTTATTTTTCTTAAATTTATTTATCATATTTTTCAAATTGTAAATAAAATCTTAAAATGATTCATTTTGTTTTATTGCAAAAACAAAAGTTACATTTGACCCAAAAAAAAAAAAAACAAAAGTTACAGTTTTTGACTCGTAAATGAGTAAATCGGAGTATTCTTTCTAATCTGGCTAGTATGTGAGAAATTGCGTTAACTCCCCAAGACAGTGACCACCAACGTACATGAACAAATTCATACACAAAATTCCTACTCGACTGTGTCCTTGTCAGTTGTCAATGAATCATGATTGCTAACCTCAATTCCCTTCGGTCTTGTTGAAAACAAGGGTCTAACAAATCCAAGAACTTTTTCAATCCAGAAACACACACGCAAAAAAAAAAAAGAAAAAGGAAAAAAAAAAAAAAACTAATTAACCGCTTTCAAGTGCAGCAGAAACTGACTGAAGACTATTGATACTTGATACTTGTTTTGGGAAAGATTGGAAAATCTCAGAGGGCATTGCTTATCACATCATCAATGAAATATTTCACAGAAGTATAAGACGATCCTCCCTCCTCCTCATAGACAGATAGACTCTTAACTTGCATTTGCTTCACCTTCTTTCTCACTTCGCTCACTGCTTCCATAACTAGCCTAATCCCCCTTTCCATCAATTCAGCACTTACATCTTCGCTACTCAACTCGGGCGTTTCCCGAGTATGTTTCCTATAGTCCATTTTGATCTCCACGGCCATCTCCAATTCCTTCACCAGCAGAAATGCATTCACTTGCTGCTCGGCGTAAAGCGGCCAAGTCGCGACCGGCATGCCAAACCAAACACTTTCCAGGATCGAATTCCACCCACAATGCGAAACGAAGCCTCCCACTGCCGGATGTGACAGAATGGCAGCCTGTGGTGCCCATCCTATGATTTTTCCGGCACCCGAATTTCGCTGCAAGAACCCTTCCGGCAATACATCTTCCAGATTCTCATAGTCATCAGCGTAACCGAAGTTGTCTGAAGAAGGTGGCTTTCTCAATGACCATAAGAAACGGTAACCAGAACGCTCGATCCCTTTCGCCATTTCCTTGACTTGTTCACCATCAAATGCTCCTCCACTTCCAAAACAGAGGAACACAACAGAGGATTCAGGTTGAAGATCCAGCCATTTTATAATACTCTGTTCATCTTCTTCTTCTTTCTGCTTCTTCTTCTGGTTGTTATCATTCCATTTCCCTCCTTTAAGATTCAACAAAGGTCCAATTGCGTAAACTGGTGGGATTTTACTGTCATTACTCAAAGCCTCAATAGCCTGGATTTCCATTTCTTTGAAGGTGTTAATTATGATTCCATTAGCCTTTCTGTATCTCTTCGCCTGGTCCAGAAACAAATCACTGCATCCTTTCTCCAAGAACACAGATGGAATCACCCTGACCGGAACAGGATTGATGTAAGTCGGAACTCGAATCTTGGTACTCTTGTCCGAAATCTTAAACTCTGTAACATCCACATTGTGATCATCTCTCAAGCTCTGGAGATGCAACATTAGCCCAAACATCGAAGCCCCACAAGTGAAAAACACATAATGCGGGACCCCTAATTTAGCGGCCACATCGAAAAAGGTTGTGCAGAACATATCCGCAACCACCCCAGCAAGCTTAGAAGTCGATGAATCATTTTTTTCAGAAAGGATTTTTCTTACATGAGGTTTGTGGTTGTCAACGAATTGGAAGAAAAAATGGATACCGGCTGGTGGTGTTTTTGAAGGGTCGTCGGTCAGTTCTGGTTTGAGATCAACAAACTTGATCCGAGGATCCGAGGATTCTTCCAAGGATTTCTTGTAGCTAAGGATTTTTGTGTCGGAAGGGGGGGCCATGATTAGGATAGTGATTGAGAGATCATTGGTTTGAGTGATGAGGAGATTTGCCAACTCTACAAATGGCACCAAATGGCTTACCCCTGCTGCTGGAATCAACACAAGCTCTGCATTTTTCGATTCCGCCATTCTTGATGATGGCATTCACTATATGGAATTGGGAGTTACAAAGAGGGATTTTTTTTATTTTTTTTCGGGTTTTCAAAGGTATTTCTACTTTAATTGACGATAATTTGACACGAATATATAATAGACAAACGAATCTTGACATTTCCTACTATATAGGAAGATGAGGATGAAGTGAAGTGTTATCATGGCTTACGTTGGGTGTTTCGTCTTATTTAGTAATTGGAGAATGATTTGATGCCTGCCAGGCTGCCACCTCCATGTTGGATGGCTGCGGTTGATGTGATTTGTCGTCAATAATTTTGTAATGAATATTGAAGTTTCGTATGGTTAACATAATCTGAGTGTTAAAGGTTTATTTCATAGACTTCAATTGATTAATTGGGAGGTGGACAAGTAATGGCAGGAATGTGATATGCATATAGTTTTTTTTTTAAGTGAAGCTGCAAACTGCGAAGGGATTGGAATGATAGAAGCTTCTCATATTTTGATAAGAATAATGATTTGTGTAGGGAATTTTAATGGAGAATGAAATATAACCATTTATTTGTAATATTTTTTATTTCCGATTTAAACATTTAAATTATGACTAAATTTTAATGATGGACATATTATTTTTGTAAATTTTCTCTGGAAATTTTTCTTGCATATATCAGTAAAGCCAAATTGACGGATTGTTTAGCATATCTGACCCGAAAATATGGGTGTTCAATTTTTTACTCATGTTCTACTTTTCTAGTCTTCTAGAAAGAAAATCTTAGGTAGTGGATAAAATTAATTATTGACTAGTGACAATTTGGACAAACTTTGTCCAATTTTGGCTTGCTTTTTGACTAATATTGCGTGTGAATTTTTTACTCATTTATCAGCCGGATTCAGATTGCTTGCTTTTTTTTTTTCTTTTGTCTTTTTAAATTTCAACGGAGAAAAGGAATTGGGGGGTCCCCATTTTCATTGCAGTGCAATTTCAACAAACACAAAGCAACTTCAGAAATCTATTTCACAATTTTCTGACGAAGCATGGATCTGTACCGACGTCTCTAGTTGATTGCATCGGCGACCATGACTGTATCAAAACTCTAAAACCTGCAAAAGAGCGCCTCGAGGCCTCCCGAAGGTAGACACTCCGATGCTTAAGTCAGTAAGAGTAATTGTAACATATGTATGAATTGTAGTGCGTAGAGCGTACCTTTGATGTAAGGGGCTGATCCCTATTTATAGTGCTAAGTTATGAAACCCTTTCTTAGTAGGAAAATAATTAGAAACCGACCTAGAAGCTTCAAGCGGGCCGGATGGATCGCTCACCGAACTTGGGCCGGCCTAGTCGCGGGGCGTGCTAATTTGGACTCGTCAAGTGCCGCTTATCAAGCCTATACTTCGAAGTCTGAAGATAGGGTAGGCTTGATAACATGAAGTATAAATTTTCCCCAAGTTCGGGAAGAACTGACTTGAATCGAGAATCTGCGACAGGTTAGCATCAAGAAGAAATCAAAGTAATGAAAGCATTAGCGTGTACCTTGTCGAATGTACGAGTCATAAAGGGCGATTGACATTATGCCAATTTGTGAAGAAAAAAGAGTCATCAGTTCGAACTTTCGAGTGAGAAGTTAATATGCGATGATTTTAATACTCTGCCCCAGATGCCCTGTAGCTCGAGAAGGTAATAAAGAAGTGTAATGGAGATTCCCATTACATTGAGTACAGAGATGCATTTATCAATAACTTTCGAAGGCACAACGACTGCCAGAACAAAGAATCTGTTTGAAGAATGCAATTCATGTCATTGATCCAGACTTCAGTCAAGAAGTCCTTACGATATGCTCTATGGAAATATCAAAGCAAATGGCCTACCTATTGAGATAATCGAGAAGGAAACGTAGTGGAGATTCCCACTAGTCTCAAAATTTGTTAATTAGCGGAGGCTAAAATATATCAACTGTCGAGGTGAGGAGTCTAATGGAGAACTATGACATAGGCTTCTGATTGAAAGGTAATAAACCCAAACCCTCGAGAATAACCACAAGGTAGTGGATCGAGAAGCATTATGAATGAAGACAGAATACTCGATGTCGAGGACATAAGTTCAAGAAAGAACACTGTCTGAGATTGAATCAGCACGTCGAGAACTTGCCCTAGCATACTCTCCTGCTAAGAAATCTGCAGACTCGAGAAGACCAGCTCGAGTGTGGTATAGAATTAGAGAGTAGAGACTGTCATCATATGACTCCTTGATTTGTCGAGGAGGCACAGAAGAGAGTAGGAGGCACCGTAGAAGATGTCGCATGTGATCACGTCAATACAGGGATAGTGAGACTCGAGAAGATTCTCTCGAGTAGAACTCCAGACAAAACTCAAGAATTGTAACCATCTGACCTTGAAGAAGGTACACAAGCATTTAAGCTTATTTATTTCCGCCCAACCGACCCGCTCACCATTTCTCATGTCCCGAGAAATAAAGCATAGAACCCTTAGTCCGGGTTTGAGAAGTATAAATCTGGTTGATGTGTCGAACCAAAGTAGATGTATAATATCGTTGCTCAAACTTGAGCAAGAATCGAGGAGGTTTTACTCATTAGTGTGAGAAGATACGATGCCCCAGTCTGAGCATCAAGTGAAGACCGTCGAGAATAGTCATAGGAAGAGATCCGTAGACCCAAGATCATCACAAAAAAAAAACAAAAACACATGCTCCCAAACACCTTATACACCTTCCAGACACTTTACACTCTCCCGTACATAAACGTTCCTCGTTATAGATAACCCCGGAACCATTACTCATCTCGGAGGCCCTAAGTCTTGGGATGGCATTTGGCAGACTGAGACTTTTTAGATAAGAATAGTATGAGAGTGTAATTTTTTCTACTCGGTTCAAGGCGATGCCTGCTCGAGATGCCCCCATAAACGTAGGGGTAAGGCGATAAAATGGCGTCAACCAGAAGGAGATGGATGGCAACCAACAAAATAGAAGAAATATGCCTGTATTGACGAGGCACAAAGTGAATTCGAGAACATCGAGAATAAAGTCATTTTCATTCTGATGCGCTGGATGATATAATCCAAGAAAGTATACTCGAGAATAAGTCTAGTTCTCATTGATGTCTAAAACACGTGTTTAGGTATGAGGGAGAGTCTTCCCCTTGTTCATGAACATGGAAATAAAGGCCTTTCTCAACACCGGATGTCGAGTACACGGCTTATGAGTTATTTGTAAAGCGCTTATAATGGTCGGATGTTAAGTACACGGCTCTTTTGCAGTCGATCCTGAAGAGGATACCTTTGTACAGACGATTCTAAAGAGAATGTCTTTTGAAGGACGATCCTGAACAGGATATCCACGAGGAAACTAGATACGAGCTCCTCGAGTACAGACGATTCTGAAGAGAATGTCTTTTTGAGGACGATCCTGAAGAGGATATCCGTTCAAATGACTAGTCATGCTTAATTGAGTGTAACTGGGTATATGTAATATGCCAGCTCCCACGAGTACTTGAGTGTGCTACCACTATGTGCATTAGACTGATAGTCTATATCCCGGGTTTAAAGTATAAACTCCCTAAGGTCAGAGCGAACTTGGTGTTGCTACTATCTGCGAGAGTTACGTATCTCTGCTTATTTTGCCCCAGAATTATCAGGATATGTTTATCCTTTTGTTTGAAGAATCTTCTTGAATTCTTTCATCATAATTGTCGAGGATATGACATTGTGATGGTGATGCCTCTAGAGTGCAGGCACCATGAAGACCCAACACTGTTCTCTGATCCTGACAAAACACCTACTCATGCACTTGTAGATTTATTAGTGAGTAATAAATTATCATAGCACGAGAAATGGCATGGAATACAATATATTATTAAGGGACTCTACCGCTTTCGAAAACAGCCATTTTGAGATATAAAATGTTAGAAGTGGGAAGATCTCACCACGATATGAATAAGACTATTAAAGCCATGGTTTGGTTAACTTGCAACGGCTATGAAATAATGTTGCGAGATCGTGCAACGCTTCTCCATGGATTTGTACTTACTACGGACCTCTGAAGAGTCATAGCTATTTGACATGAAACTGGACCATCGGATGTGAAAGCCATTGTAGCTTTGAGGTAGCAACTGCAAGTTAGTTGTTCGGCAGAGTAGATACAACGATCCATTGCGACTCCTGGCTCAAGGAAAAGAGACCATCATGCATTATGACCTTTAGAGTGTATGACCGACAACGATAAGTACGAAAGGGGTATCTATCCCCTTTCAAAAGAAAAGGAAATGGACATGACTTACCTATCGACTTTAAGATAGGTCAAAAAAATTTACGCGTGGAGAGTAAACAAAGCCATGTATACGTAAAAGCTGTAGCACCATGCTTCATGACTAATATGGGATGATGCAAGTAATTGGTATATAAGTCATGCATCTGAGAAAGGTTTCTCGTGGAAGAAGTTTGCAAGCGAAAGTTCGAGGATACTAAGAGAGTTTGAGAAACACATGTGTCGAATATGTCATAATAAGAGTACAAGAACAATTATTCCATGCTTATGAATTATCTTAACATTCATGTTATGATGTAGATGTTCATATATTTAGGCAATAATATTATGAGGAGAGCGTATCACTTATCTCTTGGCACTCTTCCAGGAGTATCTGCAAGTTAAAGCGGCAATACCCATTTGTCGAGAAGTTCCTCATTGTTGCCAATGGAGCTTGTTCGTGACATGTACCGTGTATTGGTCCTTTATTTGTTCGAGGCTACTATAGTCTGAGTATACTCTTGTATCATGGAGGGGCTACCTTCATTCTTGATTTTCTGCAAGTTCTGCAAAAATATGAAGAAGTTCTCCCAAAACTCGAGCATGACTTTACGATAGAAGGCCCTGCATAACTATTGCCAAGATCATACAGTAACGGCTTTTCGAGAAACATAGAGGCAATTGACATAATGTGCTATGGTTAGATTTTAGGTTGTTAATAGCAATTAAACTCCACTCGAGAAAGCATAGATGTCACGACTCTATGAAGAACATGTATGAAGAAAAGGTTAATGATTATTTGATTTATGTGATTTGAGATATTAAATCAGTCATAGAAGCACATTGAAGTTAGAATCAATAGAATGACGTCAGTAAAACTCAATCCTCGATTCATGAGTCCATCTTAGCCTCGAAGAATCAACTGAGTGGATTAGAGAATAGCACGAAAACATGCATGTACGATGTCTTCAAATAATTCATGTGATATACTATTTATTCAGAGAGATGGTATCCAGAGAACATGTAAATGCCAAGGAGATAATAACACTTATCTTCCTCTTCGAGCGGGTCATTGCCCCCTGGAACGGGTTGCTTCGTGATTCGAGATGGATGCTCCTCAAATTGTCTTATTGTAAGACCTGCAAAACCAAGTAGTACAACTGCGCCACTCTCGGGCAGGTTATTGTATCTGTACATATTTTGTTAGATAACCTCAAGGGAGGCACTGTGTAATTTAAAGAGCAAAGGTAAGTTTAGAGCTACTTATCTCCTTTCAAATCAATCGAGGGGATTGTCTCCAC